TAGTAAGTATATGGGTTTAGGGTTTAGGGTTTAGGGTTTAGGGTTTAGGGTTTAGGGTTTAGGGTTTAGGGTTTAGGATAGGGTTAAAACTAAGGTAACTCTACTTATAACCCCAATTAGGGTACTTATAACCTTACTTACTAAGTCCCATGATCCTCCAAGCACGACCTCGATTGGCTCAAGCAGGATCAGTACTTGGGGCTCTGTCCTTCTGTTGCTTTCTAGGGGCTTGAATCATCAGAACAGGATTTTGGGAGTAGGTGTTACTGCAGTTATATCGGATGCATAAGGGGATATCATTACATATTATTTTATTGGACCTCTCTTGTACGGAAAACGCGTATAAGACGGCCTGAGGCGCGCGGGTTTAGGGTTTAGGGTCTACGGTAGCTTGAGGAGCAGTGGTTCGTGGAACTTCTGAGGCTTAGAGTAGTTTGAGCGAAGAGCCATCGTCCCGCCATTATGGCTTGGCGCCCGGGAGGGTCAGCACATGGGGAGGGGATAGGAGAGTCGAAGGCAGGATCGGGCCGTTGCACTTGCCAATTAGAGGTAAACAGAGCTGGGAACAGTAGAACCAAGCCTGCTGCAATCATCGTATGGTGTGCACTTGCTTTGGGTTTCTCTCGGTATCTACTGCTCTTTGATGAGCCCTAGATTTATATGTCACGAGATTGCACTGGACACTGGAAGCAGTGTCTGCTACCGACGAAGTGGTGCACTAAGGTTCGGGTTCCACATACCACCAAGTCACCTCTGGGCTCATTCTTTCTTCCTGCGCGTGCCTGACCCAGGGCCTGTTTTGCGGTCACTAGGCATTGCCTGTGATTCTTGCTGTCGATCAATCGATAGTGAATCATGGCGCCGTTGCGACACCCAAGTTTTAGAACCCAGCCCGTTCTTTGCGTTTCTCGTAGGTTCAACATTGCATTTGGTGCTGAAGCATGCTGAAGCAGTGTCTGATCAGATGATACACTGAGTCGTGCCACAGCCTGGAGGTCAATGTAAGTCACAGCATAAGGTTCGGACAACACCCATCACCCTGTGCGTTTCCATCTGTCCACACTTTCAGGACCCCCAAACCCCAGATCCTAGACCTATCGGGTATTGAAATCGAAGGCTTGGAAAGTAGTGTGTGTGTGTGTATATATATATATATATGGTCGCCCCCCCCCCCGTTGACAGACCATGCCCTCTCAACTGAGTAGATGTGCATGGTGTGTCATCGGATGGGTGGCGATCAGCCCTCACAAACTCAATTCCAAAATTTCCAATATTCTCGCCCCTAACTTTCCGGATTTCCAAAAT